AAAAAAAAAAAAAAAAAAAAAAGACCAAAAAAAAAAAAAAAAAGACTAGGTAGACCCCAAGCGCATTCACACCGTGTGGCTGGGAGAATTGCCACCTCCCTGAATCTGCACCACGGGTAGGACCGAGAAGGCACATTAATTCTGGAGTGAATGGGGCTTGTTGCCTCCTGCACTTCCATAACTGAGAGTTCACCTCTGATTTTGTTTAGATTTTCTACAACCTTCATGAATCGCATTTAATTGATTCCCTCTCTTTGTTTTTCTCCCTGCAGGTTTGGCCGTAAACTCTGCCTCTTAGTTACGATCCTCATAAATGCTGTGTCTGGAGTTCTCATGGCCGTTTCCCCAAGCTATACTTGGATGTTAATTTTTCGCTTGATCCAAGGACTGGTCAGCAAAGCAGGCTGGTTAATAAGCTACATCCTGAGTAAGAATGCTCGTAATTGCTGCTGTGTGCTCAAGGGGACATGGCTGCCGGGACACAGTCAGTGGGGGGTGGCTGTGCGGAAAAAGGACCTGCCTCAGGCAGCGTCGAGAGATTTTCTTTCTGTATCAGAGTGGTTTCTAACATCATTTCCATCAACTCATTCTGCATTCTTCCTATAAAAAAAACAATGCAGGCAGAAACAAGAGCAAGCATCATGCCACCCAGATTCTTAGATATCTCTTGGAATTTTTGTCTTCTGTACCCTGGAGTATGATATAGAAAAAAAATCGAGCCTACCAGTCCTATTTATAAAGAAGATTCAATGACGAGATATATGATAGATCGTAAGGAACTTTAATGCTTTGCATAAACATATTCTAGTAAACCGTGATTATCCTCAATTTATATATAAGGAAATTGAGAATACAAGCACTGTAGTCAGTCTAGGTTATTCAGCAAGCCATGTGTTGCACCAGGAGTGTAATTACATCCTAGTCACTGGTAGCCAGAGTTATGGCTAAGGGTCACAGAGTGCAAGAGAATATTTGAGTTCTAACAGCATGGCAAAGAAAAATCACTGCCATAATTAGATCTTGAGAATTCACCTCATTATTACTTTCCCTTTGGCTACATTCAAATAACATCTCTATGAAGGGAAATGAAGACTTTGAAATTAAAATAATAATAATAAAGCTCACATTACACATGAGAGAGCTAGAATATGTGCGCTTACAATTTTACCTGGCAAAGTTAATGTAGTGAATTCTGTGAGAGGAAGAGGAGATGGTGCTTAATACTATTCCTGCCAAGGTAGACACCTGTTTATAATAAATGTTTCATCAACGAAGGAATTAATGTGTGCAGCTATTCAACCAGTGATTTGGTTTCTAGAATACACAATGTGTAAAATATGTAGAATTGTATAAAAGTCAATTTCAGCAAAAGTTCATCTCGGCCTCCTCCCCTTCTTCTCCAGTCCCTCTGAATGTCCTTGAATGACCTTGTTACTCAACCTCTCTACCCACCTCCCTCAAACTCATCCATGACCCCAACCACTTTGAAAGACAGACATTTCAAATTATTGGGAAC